GCTAACATCTCTCGCTTTGCTTTCATAAAGAGTCATAACTTACTCGTACACTGTGTGTTTGTCATTTTCTCTTTTTCTCTCCTTCCTTCATCATTGCCTTTTTAATCTTCTCTTAAAGTAAAGACAACTTAAATTCTAATGTTAGGACCCCGTGCAGTAGCCTAGTGGCTGAAGTCCTCACTTTGAATGTGCCAGGATCCCTTATGGGTGCTGGTGCACCTTATGGGTGCAGCCCAGTGGCTGCATTTCCCATCCAGCTCCCTGCCTATGGCCTGGTAAAGCAGTTCAGGACGGCTCAAAGCCTTGGGACCCTGCACCCACGTGTTAGAGACCTGGAAGAGGCTCTTGGCACCTGGCTTTGGCTCAGCTTAGCTCTGGCCATTGCAGCTGCTTGGGGAATGGATCATTAGATGGAAGATCTTTCTCTCTGTCTTTCCTCCTCTCTGTATTTCTGACTTTGCAATAAAAATAAATAAGTCTTTTAAAAAATTCTGATATTAAGGTTAGTATCCCCACCTGCAGACACACTGGTTTGAAATCTCTCATAGTCTTGTAGCAGCTACTAGGCACATCCCAAATGTAGCCAATCCTTTTTCTTCCATTAAATTGCAGTCATTTATGTAACAGAAAGGTGATGGCCTACTTCATGTGTCAGCTATGATAACCATCTCTATTTACAGTGTATTGACTTTTTCTTACATGGCGAACAAGATGAGAGAATTGGGAGAGTACCCTTAAATTGCTTAAATCAAACTATCCTGTTTGAAGGATTGCCTATCAGTCTACCTTTGATAACTTCATTTAGACATTTAAAATAACGTTTCACTTACAAAGTTGAGAACTGTTAAAATATTGAGCTGAATGCATTGGTGTGCTTTCCTGTCTTTCTGGTAGTGCATGGGAATGGTAAGAGCAGACAAGGTGAACCAGGGGCAGATGCGCGTGCCTGAATGAGAGGAGGCGGAGTGCCTTTCTGCTGCCTGGAAACAGCTGGGACTACAGAGCATTGATGCTGATTTTCTTGTGACTTTTTCTTTGAATCACGCTGTTCTGTATTCATAGTATATGAATACACACTATTCTGTATATTTAATTCCAAAATAGAACCCCTAGATATGTTTCAAGAGGCTGTGGAACATTTGCTAAAGCCCCAATACTTCACTGGAATTGAAAAGATAAGAATTGGCCAACCAGAAGTCTAAGAGATAAAATCAGACATGGGACCCAGAGTCAAGTGCATCTCAGGTGCTAACAGTGGGTCAGGTGTAGTCAGCATGGAGGAAGGCCAAGTCTAAGATGTGCTTGTAATAGTAAAGTTAATGGTGTTAAAATCAAGTCTTAGGTGTCCCAGGCCTGTGAGCAGTGGGATCACTGAACACAAAAGTAACAGAAGAAAAGCAGAACAGAAGCCCGGCACTTGAACTGGATTACCGAGGAAAGCATGGTCCTCCCTGCCTGATGTGTCTTGCCAGCAAGTGGGCAGCCAAAGGGCTTAGAGAGGTTAAGTGAAAGCAGGCTGCAAAGGCAGTGCTTTGACCCCTGATAAAGGTGGAGGAGAGTGAGGTAAGAGGGTAACTGGATCTAAACCAGCATATTGATGAATTTGTTGTGCAGAAACCACTCGCGTGAACAATCCAGACTTGGATCAAAGGGAACACAGAAGTAGGTCAGATAACCAAAGTCTTCAGAAACCCCATATCCCCTTGTTTGACAAAGTAGGAAGAGTAGCGACTCAGGATGACAAATGATTCCATAGTGAACTAGTACAAATTTTCCTCTGTCAACACCTTTTCAGTCTTTCCTGCGTTTCCAAATATTCTTCCGAATATTTACTGAGTTCCTAATTAGTGGCTGATCACCAATCAGTAAATATTGATTAAGTATATATTCAGTGTCCCTAGCACTGCTCATCCATACATTTACCTGCCAGTAATGCCTCTTTGAGGGTGAGTTAATAGCCACTGTTGCTGCTCAGGTGCCAAAATGGCAAGTGCCATGCTATCGCAACATCCTATCTGCTCTTTTCAGTTTATTTGTTAAAGTAACTGATGGATTTCAGGTTGATGTTGTTTGAAATTACATAAAATCACTTTTGGGGTAAAAGTTTCTTAAATTAGATTTTGGGGCAGGCATTGTGGTACCACAGCCTAAGCTACCACCATGACCCCAAGATCCCATATTGGAGTGCTGGCTCAAGTCTCAGCTGCTTTGCTTCTGCTCAGGCTTCCTACCGATGCACCTGGGAAGGCTATGAATCACTGCCGAGCACATGGGAGGCCTGGAAGGTGTTTCTGGTTCCTGGCTTTGGCCTGACCCTGACTTAGCTATTGTAGCCACTTGTGGAGTGAACCAAGTAGATAGAACCTTGATTTGATCTCTCTTCTCTTTTCCTCCTTTTCTGGTGTGTGTTGTTTGTTTTGCCTTTCAAATAAATCAATATATTGGTTGGAGCAGCGTGTCATACCAAGTAAAACTACTGCCTGTGGCTCAGGCATTTCATATGGGTGCCAATACAAGTCTTGGACTATGCTTCTGATTTAGTTCCCCACTAAAAAAAGATGGTCCAATGGCCTGGGTACTTGTGCTCATGTACAAGACCTGGAAGAAGTTCCTGGATGCTAGTTTTGAACTGGCTCAGTTCTTGTAGTTGCAGCAATTTAGGGAGTGAACCTAGAAGATGGCAGATCTTTCTCTCTCTCACTGTGTATTACCCAACCCTTTGCCTGTAACTCTGCCTTTTAAGTAAATAAATAGTTTAAAAGTAAATATCGGTAATTTATAGTTGTATATTTTCATAAGGTTGATTGCTGATAAAAACTGATCATTGCAGGAAACTTGATGAACAAAATAAAGAGCACCTGCTTCTTAGTATTACTATCTAATACCTGCTAGTATTTAGGACTGTTTCCTAGCACTAACCACTACGTTTGGGTGCCTTTCTTCATTCATCCTCTGTGTATTTTAGCAGAGGTGCAGTATGCATCTTAGGTTCGATTGCTCTAAAATAGTGCCCCAAGCTGGACAACTTAAACATTTTTTTTCCCTCGCCTTTCTGCAGGCTGGGAAGTCCAGGGTCCAGGTGCCAGGAGATTTTGGCATGTGAGCAGGGAGCTTAGCATCTTAGCAGTCACCTTCTCATTTCTTCTTCTCTTAGGAGAGGAAGAAAGCTGGTGTCTGAAAGAGCCAGAATCCCTTCTCTCTCTTTGCTCTGTCTGTTAAGGGAATTAATCCCACCATGGTGCCCTACACTCATGATTTTTTAAACCTTAGCCACCTCCCAAAGGCCTGCCTCCACATACTGTCGCATTGGAGGTTAGGGCTTCAGTCCCTGAGAAATGCGATGCAGTCTGTAACAGTGTATATAAAGCTTCATGTCTTAATCATTTCACTTGCCAGTAGTTAGATCATGGATATTTTATCAATTTATGACTGAAATATTCTGCGCAGGGTTGTACCTTAATTTGCTTAGGATCTTTCAAGCTTTAGGTTAATTATGTTAGTTTGCTGTCATCAGACAACTTTCAGATAGCTATTATATGTGCAGTATTTGCTCCTCTTATTAGTTCTTGTAGAACGTTGTAGAACTTAGATGAATAAAAACCTTTGGTAAGGAATCTTGTACAGCTTTGAAAAGCAAGGCACAGTTGGCTTTGCTCTAGAAGCAAAGGACCTGCTAGCGCTTGGTGATTTTCCTAGATGCTTAGGTTAACTCCACAAACAGCGCAGAGAAGAAGGAGTGTGTGGTGGCCTACTGTGAGGAGATGGTGGCTTGTGCGACCTGGAACTCTAAGTGGGTTTTGATGTGCCACTTTGGCCCGGTCTGTATTTGAGGGAAGTTACAGGTAGATGATAACTGTTGAGGGCAATTACAGGTGGACAATGCCTGTCACAGCCACCAGTGCTCTTTGCCGGTAGTCTAAGGATTTCTGTGTGTTTCTGTATATGTGAAAATGAGAAAAGCTGTTAGTGCTACCTCTCTAGCATCTTAGCACTGGAATAATGTTGCCTACTGCTTCCTGTTTGTTGTGGCTAAAAAAAAAAAAAATCTGAAAATATAGTTAGCCTCTCCAAAGAACACTTCCTAAAATATTTTCATTTCATCTGTGCTTATTAGCTAACATAGATTTTGTATTTGTTTCTTTTTTCTTTTTTGAAGTGACATAGAGGGAAACAAAGATGGAGTGAGACTACCAGAGCTTGTATCCTCTGCCCTATGTCCCAGATACCCACATAGCTAGGGCTAACTGGGGCTGAAGCTAGGAGACTGGAACTCAGTCCAGGCCTCCCATGCCCATGGCAAGGACCCAGCTAGGTGACACATCAACTGCCACTTGTCCAAGGAAGTGAATGAGCAGGAACCTGGAATTGGGCATGTCCAAGCCTTGAAATCCAGCGTGGGATGCAAGCATCCCAACTGGAATCTTAGCTGCTAGGCACATTTCCTAGTTCTAAATGAGTAGATACCAGCAATTAGGGAGGGGGTCTTAGTGGATGACTGCCAAGGTCCCTCGGTTCTGGGAACTGTTCTCTCGCTCTACTGCCATGGACTGAGGCACCTGGAGCAGGGCAGAGCTGGAACCATGCAGGGAGAGGAGGAGAAGGAAAGCCAGGGGGTCTATGTTGCATCAGGCTGTTTCTGGGCTGATGTCCTAGCTGTAATACTGTGCTGTAGTTCATAAAATGGTGCTGATGGCAAAAATAGGGAAGGGGGCTGGGAGTCTGGCTGTATCATTTCTTACCATTTTGTAAGAGTCTGCAGTGGCCCCAATTAAAATTTAAGTTGGAAATTTTTAGCTTAACTCTAAAAGTGGATAGCATTCAATGGCATGGCTGTTGTGTTTGGTGACAGAATTTGAAATCAAATTGCTGTCCACAAACACTGAATCTTCCTCCCCGCCACCATTAAATGAGTCTGATACAATGAGAAGGACTACATGCTTTCTAATAATTTTCCTCCATAGTTCTACAACAGTGAAATAATTTCTGTTTTTCTTTTCCAGCCATGAAGACTTTGAATTCATTTCAGGAACACGAATGCGCAAGCTTGCCCGAGAAGGCCAGAAACCTCCTGAAGGCTTCATGGCTCCCAAGGCGTGGACTGTGCTGACAGAGTACTACAAGGCTCTGGAGAAAGCTTAAGCTGGCAGCCCCGTCAGCCACCTGTGACGCTCTGCCGAGTGACAGGAGGGGACCACAGAGTCGCTGTGGGCATTTCCTTGCGGTTGTCTATCTGGCCATGCTTCCTAACAAACACCATTTTCCTTAACCTGTGTCAGTTTTGGTCTGCCTAGGAGTTCGGTTCTGAACTAGTGTGATGCTCTGTTGGTTTTAATGTATCTTTTTGACTTACAGTTAGTACTTCTACAGTGCAGTTTTAATATCTTGTCTTTTTATATTATATTTATGCTTCTGTCTCATGATTTTTTCAAAATATTAGCTGTAACCAGTAATACACATATTGTACCTCACTTTTCATCCTTTAAAAAAGGAAAAAAATAAATCACTAAACTTGGCTAGACCTTGTTTTGGAAATTTTACAAGACATCTATAACAATTAGATTTTTTTTTTCTACATTGAGAATATAAATTGCTTCCTTTCTTCCAATCAGTTATTGATCTTTCAGCCATTATAATCTAAAATATTTGTATGATCTGTGTAAGCTCTGAATGAACTTGTGTATTCAATAAAATTAATTTTTTGACTTCTTATTTACATGACAGTATATTGTTCTGTTCTTTCCTCTTTGGGGGAAAAGTTTCCAGTGGACAGGGAGCAGACAGACAACTTTTATTCTTTATATATATTTTTAAAAGATTTATTTATTTATTGGAAGGTCAGATGTCAGAGAGGACGAGGAGAGACAGAGAGGAAGATCTTCCGTCCGATGATTCACTCCCCAAGTGAGTGCAACAGCCAATGCTGTGCGGATCCGAAGCCAGGATCCAGGAACTTCTTCCGGGTATCCCACACGGGTGCAGGGTCCCAAAGGTTTGGGCCGTCCTGGACTGCCTTCCCAGGCCACAAGCAGGGAGCTGGATGGGAAGCAGTATGGCCGAGATTAGAACCAGCGCCCATATGGGATCCCGGTGCGTTCAAGGTGAGGACTTTAGCCGCTAGGCCACGCCGCTGGGCCCCAGACAACTTTTATTGCTGGGATTTAAGACCTGGTTCCTGACTTGTGTTACATAGTGAAAGTCTGAGTAGCAGAAGCCTGTAGTATTTCAAGTGGAGAATTATAGAGCTGCCTTAGTCCATTTAAAAACTTGGCCAGTCTCTAGCAGATTTCTGTGCAGCAGCTGACCAAGGGTTTGTTTGTTGACTGCTTCAGTCAGAAAAACTAGGCTGTGTTGTAGAAACAATGTCTGTATCATAGTGCCATAAAATAAAGGTGGTTTCACTTGCTCACCTTACTCATTCAGGGGATGAGCCTGTCATTATCTACTGTGTCAACAAGAGATAGCAGAGGAAAATAATATAAAAAACCATGCTGGCTCCTCAGTGTTTTGGGTTAGAGCTGACACACACATCAGCTGTTAGTTCACTGGATGGACGTATCACACAGACCCACGCACTTGTAGGGGGTGTTAGGAAATGTGGATTGTGCTAGTACAGGAAGGTTAGTATACTGGGCCTATTGGTGACCATGAGTGATGAATGCCACTCTTGCTGTTTCATTCTCTGCTTTCAAGAAGGAATGTTTCTCAAGATGCTTGTGGAAATATATACCAGTTTATGATTCACAGTGTTACACTATAAAGGACAATCATAGACATTCGAAATACTGCAGAAATGAATACGTGTGACCAGCAGAAGGAATAGACTAGGTTCAGGGGACAGCATTACAGGTGGGAGATCAGTAACATTTCCCAGCTGTACTGAATCTTTAGTTCTGTTGTATTTTGAAAATGTGTTTTAAAGACACAGAAAACTCCCATTCAGGATAGTGAATCTATTTAGTGAGTAGAATAGAAAAGTACATGGATATGGGGAAACTTAAAGGTAGTATGTTTTTGGCTTCATGTTACCTAAAACATACTTATTTAGAGACAACTCCTTTTTGTAAGCATACAAAGGTCAAAGGACACGTTACAGCTAATGTGTGATGTCACACATCAGCCCAACTAATTCAGAATCCCCTAACCTGAGGTGTTGCATTTGTAGGACGTAGAGAAAATGAATCATGGTTTCAGGGTGGCACGGACAGAATCATGCTTATGGGGACAGTGAGTGTCCTGTGGCCATGGCCCCCATGATGTGCTCTCTCAAATCTTCAAGTTCATTGCCCTTTGCTGACTCCTCTACTACCTAGTTCCCTTTGCTTTTATCCCTTCTCTAAGCTTCAATTGTTCACGTTTTCTATCAATTTCATAAAAACAGTAGGCTTCCTCTAAACTGAGAACTTGAATTATCTGGAATAAATCCCTGTGAATATCATTTGCAAGTTAAAACCGTGACTGTATGTGACAGCATGTGCAAAAAAATGTATTTTGGATATCTTAATGCTGCTTAATTTTAAGATGATCTTTTATTGTTGACAGTGTATTTTAAAAGGAAGAAATTTTTTAAATGCTTGGCATTCAGAAAATATAGCACTGTGACTAAAATGATTGGTGAAAACTCCAGTGGCACTCCAGAATGAAAGCTTTTATTTGAGAATAATTGGAGATTACAGTCCAAGATATGCATGTCCTGGGGGACTGTGCAAACATCTAGAGAAGTAAAAGAAGAGAAGGAATTTTCAAGACAAAATTAGGAGGGTTACAGGCAGCAGGCATCTAGGTTGAATGGTCCATTACTGAGTGGGGATCCCTACGTAGATGTATTTCTTTGCAAGATTGTGATGATGTCTGTGCCAGGTGGTTCTGACGGAGTGTTCCGTGATAAGCAGTTCTTGTACCAGGCAGATGGGCCTAGGGATACTTCCTTCTTGGTCTTGCACTCCATTTTGATAGAGTTTAGTGCAAGTGACACTATCTTGATTTTGACAGATTTCACAGCATCCTTTCAAAAGTATACTAATACAACCAATACCTTGTTAGATGATATTGTGTGATGACATAGAGTGATGTATGCAAAACCAGACAATATTGGTCAGTCACTCGGTGAGCTCTTTTTATAATTTTTTTATTTATTTGAAAGAGTAACAGAGAGAGGTGAGGTGAGGATAGAGAAGAACTTCTACTCACTAGTTTGCTGTCTAAATTGTTAGAATGACCAGCAATGGGCCAGGCCAAAGCCAGGGACCAGGAGCCTCTTCCAGGTCTCCCACATGGGTAGCAGATGCCCAAGTACGTGGACCATATTCTGCTGCTTTTCCTGGGCAAGCCATTAGCAGAGAGCTGGATTGGAAGTGGAACACACAAGACACAAACTTGCCCCCATATTGTATGCCAGTATCACGGGCAGTGGCCTTATCCACTAAGCCGTAGCACTGACCTCTTGACAAGCATCTTGACAAACGTCTTGATGAGGCCACTGCAATTATAACACGGCAGACTGTTTTATAGTAAGCACCCCCCCCCCAAAAAAAAAATTCAGTTACTTCCCTTCAAAGTTACAGAGAAAGGGGAAGAAACAGAAAGATCTTCCATCCGCTGGTTCACTTCCCAAATGGCTGCTTGGCTGCTATATCCAGAGCTGGGTCAGTCCGAAGCTTGGCGCCAGGACCTGCTTCTGGGTTTCCCATGTGGATTCAGGAACCCAAGGTGGTGGACCACTCTCCACTGCTTTGCCAGATCATTGGCAGGGAGATGGTTGGGTAGTGGAGCAGTAGGGACATGCACCAGGCCCCCATGTGTGATGCTGGCACCACAGACAGAGGGTTAGAGTGTTGGTCTGACAATAGGTTTGTTTTTGTTTGTTTTTAGTAGGAGTGCTCCCAAAACAATAATGAAAATATAGTTTAGCAAGAACAGAATCTGAACTTCGTTTTTCATGATCCAATCTTATGTACTATACATAATTGGATGTACTCTCTTTTTAAGTGTTTTGCATTGTAGAAGGTTTGTTTACACCACAACCAACATCTCAAGGATGCATTGCACTACAATGCTTGCATGCTGTGGTCTCACTGAATGATGGGGAATTTCCATTTCCGTTATTGACTTATGTGGCCACTCTAACATGCAGTCCAATAGTTCCCAAGATGCCAGTGTACAGAAAATGAGAATGACAATGTGAGGAAGATTAACAGCACTGGGGTCAAGTGTGGTATAGAAAGCAACCTTGTGTTGTATCAGGTGACCGTCTTTGCTGACTCCGATCTTAGACATGATCCCATGATTCCAGACCCCTATGTCCGTGCGGTTAGCCACTCACTGTGTGTTTCAGTGAAGAAGGCAAGGATAACGGCTGATTTCTGCAATCCACAGGTTGGTATGTGTATCTGTAATCTTCCAATCTGATCGATGTGGAAAGTTTATTCTTTGCTAGTTCATAAAAATGAGCCCAAACTAATCATTAAAGCACTCAACCAAACCTTTCCTGCCAAGTGGTCTTGGAAGTCTCAGTGCCATTTTTATCTCTCCATCACCTGGAGAGATGAACGGAAAAGGGAAAGGAAGTACAGTTCAGCTTGGCAGAAACACGCTGTCCCAAAGCTGTACACTCTTTCACTGTGGTCATCGAGACCACATATTTGAGTTTCATTTCCTTCCAAGAGGGGGCTGGTTGTACCTCTTACAAATCAGAATTCATAGATTTTATAAGGAAAACTCAGAAGTCCTGCTTCCCACATATGGTATGTCTTTAATAGCCCATATGTATTCAGGAGTGGCTGGCTCTGACAGGAAGGAGGTATTTGCCCACTGGGCTTCTGTTCGCATATAGGGTGTTTCTGAAAAGGCCTGTTAAGTTGCATTTATACTGCATTCCATTCCTTTCCCACAGATTGGCCCTGGATATAATCACATGTATACATAGGTTGTGCAAAAGACATCTTGCCCATCTAACTCCAGTCTAATATGAAACTGCCTTCCCTGAGGGTGGCATCATTATCCTCACTTTCTGCTTCCCGAGATTCCCAAGGAAAATGGCACTGGAATTTGGGGCTCAGAATTGAGGAACTGAATTGACAAATAGATATCACCCGGACTTCTATCTCTCAGACCTGTGCCAGTACTGAGCATCTGTAATGGCATCTGCTTTTTTTTTTTTTCTGACAATTTTATTTATTTTGGCTTGAAACTTGAAAGGTAGATAAACAGTGTGATGGAGAGACACAGAAAGATCTTCCATCCATTAGTTCACTACCCAAATAGTCTCAGTGGCCAGAGCTGAGCTGATCCAAAGCCAGGAGCCAGGAGTCAGTCTCCTTTGGCTTTTCCCACGTGGGTGCAAGGGCCCAAGGACTTGGGGCATCCTCCACTGTTTTCCCAGACCGCAAACGTGGAAGTGGATTGTAAGTGGAGTAGACAGGATGTGAACAGGTGCCCTTATGGGATGCTGGTGTTTGCAGGTGGAGGGTTAATTTATTGAGCCACAGTGCCAGTCGTCCACCATCTGCCTTTCTTAAGAGAGGAAAACCATTCCACTGAGGCGAACTACAGCACAGAACTCCCTGCCTACCTTGCTTCCAGCAGCCTGGGCTTTTGCTATTAGAGAAGTATGTCTGCTACCCAGCATGTAGCCTTCCTGTTGCTTGGGGAGAAGTGGACAAAATGAGACATCCTGGGGCCTGACAGTGAGGGCAAGACTGAGGGCTGGCACG